ACTTTCAGAAAGATGGAGATGTACTTTTCCTTATTCCTCCCACTAAGTACAACTAAAAACCCTTGTGACATATAAAATAAGCATAAAGATACCAAAAGATGAAGAAAAGCAGATTGGCCGGAGACTGAAGACTCCATGTACATCATGGTGGTGAGTTCCCTGGGTCTTTTTTTTTTTTTTTTGGTCTCATATAACCCAAACTTGGAACTAAAGAATTCAGTAACCCAGACACCAATGGGCACAAACAAAACAGCCTAACAAAAGCCTGCTCTTTTTAGCCAAAGGATCAGGAAAGAGAAAGCCCAGCAACACAAAAAACTTAAGACAATAATTACTTTACTATGGGCAAACACTAAAGAAAAAACTGTGGCTCCACCCACAACAACAAAAAACTATACTTTCACCTGCAAAGGCATCCCATCCCCTCAATTAACCCTCTATAATTAATTAGTGTCAGAAAAGGCCAAGTAGAGAGCCAGGACTTTCATCCCAACCAAGTAGTAATAAACTACCACCACCATCACAATGTACTGTGCAGAACAGGGGTGGAAAGACTACATAGGAAGCAGTAACAAGGCACTCCTGTTCCTCCCAGTCAGGGAAGCTTCCATAGAGGCCCAGTGAAGAGCCAGAATTTCCACCACAGTTCAGCAATTATGGGAAGCATCCCCTCTGGTGTCAACAGATTAAAAATAGTCACAACAAAGAAATAAAAGATATACAGAAGAAACAAATGGAAATTTTAGAACTGAAAAATAGAATAATCAAAATGAAAGAGATCATACTATGCATTCTTGCTCTTTATACTCAATACATAATAAAAATCAAAGTCTATCTGTATGCACATGTATAGCATTTTTTAGTAGCTACAGTACTCCATTGTATGAATTAACACTAACTATCCTACAATTAATGGACACTTCGATTGTATATAATGCTTTACTACTGTAAACCATGCATATACACATAATTATGTAGGGGAGGGGTTGGTTTTGTTTTTTGTGTTTTTTGCAGCACTGGGGTCAAACCCATAGCCTTGCATATACTAGGCAAATGGTTTAGCACTGAGCTACATCCACAGTCCTGTCATTTTTAATGATATCAGTAAAAAGTAACAGTCATATGAGGGGCTGGGGTTGTAGCATGTGTGAAGCTTTGGATTTGATCCTTAGCATCCCATAAAAATAAATAATAAAATAAAGGTACTGTGCAGGGTTTCTGTTCTCGCGACTAAAAGGCTCAGGGGCCACTCCAGAGAAACTGGACTAATTGGGCTGCGCAAAATAACCACACAAGAGACACAAATACCTTTTTCTTTGGGGTCGCTGTGATGGCTCCTCTGACCTTAAAGGTCCGCAGGAAGAGACAGAGAGAGAGAGCACACACAGGCTGACCCTTTTTATTGGGGAGAAGCTATTCAAATGAGGCAAGGGGTCAGGTTTCAGGGGGCTGAGTCTATCTTCATGATGTCCACTGTCACCAGGTTGACTGACATATGGGTAGGCCACACCCAAAGGCACAGTAAGAGAAGGGGACACACACAAGGCACTTCCATGGAAGATTCTATCCTAAACAGGGCAAGGGGTTATATTACAAAGGAACAGGTGAGCATAGCTCCACCCATGGGGCTGTAGCAAGACACACCCATGCACGAGACACCATCCCTCAAACCCAAGAAGGGTGGGGAAAGCTCTGCAACATTTCTGTGACTGAGTGCCTCAGCATCCAGCCAGGGAGTGTGACTCAGTCACGTAAAAGGTTGGGCTCCCATAGTACTGTGTCCATCTATAACTAAAATAATTTTTTTTAAAAAAAGAGTTCCATATGAAAGGGCATGCACATTTTAAATTTTTATACATACTGCCAAATAACTCTCCAGAAAAGTTGTACCAATTTACATTCCCATTAACAGTATATGTGTGTGCCAAATATTTTACATCCTTGCCAGCAATGAGTATTATTTAAATGCTTTGCCTTGCTTTTGAATTTGACAGGTAAAAATGGGACATCATGGTTGTTTTTACATATATTTATTATTAATACAATAAATATATTTTTATATGTTTAAAGTCAAAAGTAGTCCTTCCCCCACCCCTGGTGTTGGGGACTGAAACCAGGGCTTCAGGCATGTTAGGCAAGTGATCTACCACTGAGATGTACTCCCAACCCAGTCTTTCTTTTAAAAATTCCCAGTTATGGGCCAAGGTTGTAGCTCAGTGGTAGAGTGCTTGCTGAGCATGGGTGAGGCACTGGGTTTGATCATTGCACCACATAACAATAAACAAAATACAGGTATTGTGACCATCTACAACTAAAAAAAAATTTTTTTAAATTCCCAATTAGAGTCTTTTGTAAATGTTCATTGTTTATATTACTAATATAAAAGCATCTGGGGGCAGGGAATGTGGTTCAGTGGTAGTATGCTTGCCTTGCATGCATGGGGCACTGGGTTTGATCCTCGGCACCACATAAATAAATAAAATAAAGGTATTGTGTCTTACAACTAAAAAAAAAATTTAAATAAAGGTATTATGTCCATCTACAACTAAAAAATATTTTTTAAAAAGGACATTTTGGATTTTAGAAATAAAAGCCATTTGACATACATGGTGCAAATATATTCTCTTCTACTGTGTTACTTTTAACCTTGTTTCTGTTGTTTTTTTGGCAGCAGCAAAGTTTTTAATTGGTTCAGATTTCATTTTGGCAAGCCAAATTTAACTAAACCTTACCCTCTTTCAATTGAAGTGCTGAAGATACCAACATAAAGGTTCAGTCCCAATTAATTTTAGAGTCAAACAACCATAAAATCACCACCATCACTACTAGTATTAGTCTAGAATTAGCTATCCTGATCCCATAAGGAGAAAGAAGATAAAGCTGGCACCTGCTAGTTACCTATACATTCAATTATCAAGTTTATTTCCCAAACTACACAGTTTCCCCAGGTTATATGTCTAGGTATCTGGTTTGATTTTTATATAATATTCATTTCCTCACTGAGATCCCATTCTGACTCTATATCCCAACCAATCTAGCTAATTATTCAACAGCCTACCCTGTAATCCTTTTTGGAAGCTAAACCATTCCCACAGCTTCACTTTACCTGAAAACTTACCTCAAAATAACCAAAACTATGAATATTAGACTGCCACCTAATGGCTCATTATTATCATTACCTAGATACTTCTATTACCACGTTCTGCCTCTCTTTTGGATAGTAACCTCAATTTACTAAGTTACTTTGGCCATTATAATATATACTGCTAGTCAATTCATTTGAGGACTAGCTACCTGGGATTTATAAATAAAACAAATGTGATATATGATATATTGTTCTTTATTTCACACTAGACATCTATTCTCCCTTCATGCTTCTTTTCCCCAACCAGTCATTCACAAGTGCCTACTACATGGTACAATACTGCCTGGTTATAACAAGCAGCATTAACCATGTCATAAAAAATAAGCACAATCAGGGCTGGGATTATGGTTTAGTGGTAGAGTGCTCGCCCCACATGTATGAAGCACTAGGATCGATCCTAAGTACCACATAAAAATAAATAAATAAAATACAAGGATTGTGTCCATCTACAACTAAAAAATTATTTTTAAAAAATAGGCACAATCAGGCTAGGGTGTGGCTCAGAGGTAGAGTGCTCACCTACCACACAAGAGGCACTGGGTTCGATCCTCAGCACCACATAAAAATAAAATAAAGATATTGCATCCACCTATAACTAAAAAATATTAAAAAAAATAAGCACAATCATTGGAATCTTAATTTCTGTGAATGTCACATACAGAAAATCATAATAAAACAGTTTAAAAGGATATCTGTTAATTATAAGACAACAAAACTCTATACATATGAACATACACATATATATCTTAATGTTATTCCATATTTCACAGAATAATTTGTCTATAATTCTTCAACTAACACACAAAGTATTTACTATGCCTTTCCTTAATACATCTGTATTAAATCAAGACATCTGATATTAATAATCATTAACTACAGTATTCAGGCTGAGAGTTAAGATAAAATATTCATAACTAATTTTGTCATAATCCAGGATATTTATGTGCTAAAAATAGAATTTTTTAATTAAAAATGCAGATCAGTAGTTAGAAAAACACCTACATGCTGAACACAGAATGTACTTAGCAAAGACCATATCCTTAATTGAAGAATATAGCACAAGCTCCTCTTAAGTTTCTTAAAACCTATAATCTATATTTTATTAAAGTCAATTTTACAGAATATGAAAGTACTACTATACTGGACCAGGAAAAATGTATAGAAAGGACATTTTTAGAATAACACAATGGTTTTCAACCAAAGGCAGTTTTGTCCCCCATAAAACATTTTTGGTTGTCACCTGGGGGGAAGGAGAAAGCCATAGTCTGCTGTTGGTATCCACTTCGAGGGATGATGCCTCATAATGCACATGACAGTCAGCCACACACTAAAAAAAACTATGGTCCATAATGACATTAGTTTCAAGGCTGACAAACCTGAGAAAACTGATGTAATTCCAACATAAACTATACTATATCAGTTAGATTTCTGTAATCTAATAATTTTCCTATGGTTTCATAAAAGAACAATCTTGTTCTTAGGAAATAAATATCCCAAATATTTTTTTAAAATATTTTTTAGTTGTTGATGTACCTTTATTTTTTATTTATTTATATGTGGTGCTGAGGATCAAACCCAGGGCCTCAGATGTGCTGGGCGAGTGCTCTACTGCTGAGATACAACCCCAACCCCAACCCCACGAAATGGTTATTAAAACTTAAGATTTTCAGAAGTTTAACAATAATTCTGAATTCTCCAATTTCATCACTCGTATTCCTAAACACTTATTATTACTTAAGGTATGTAACAAATCTACACTAATAGCTTCATGAATTACAACAGTATAGTTTTGGAAAACAGTAATTAAAATTTTTTTTTAAATTTTAAATCCAAGAAAAAAACGTAGGGTACTTACAGATGTCTGGGACATACTTGACTGTTGTGTGACACTTCCTGTGGGGGACGTAGATGGTCTTCCACTGGATAAACTTGCCTAAAACAATAAGACCATTATAATATGCCTGCAAAAACCTGAAGTTAAAACCTTTCTGCTACCAGCATAACACAAAAACAAAATAAGAACCAAAGCTCAATTTAATCTTTGGCCAAACAGATTTTTTTTTTTAAAGAAAAGAAAAATATGAATGGTGAAAACAGGCCCAAAAGCTAATCTGATTAGCTGTACTCATTGTCAGTTTCACTCTTCAGGTTTCTTGACATTTCTGAAGCTGAATCACCACTCTACCATTACAAAAAAGACATTTGAGCTACATCAAGAGCCAGTGGGTTTCAGTTTCCTAAGTCATATTATGAACATGATGTTACTTAAAATTACACTACTGAAAAGAAGTAACATCTGGTATCTATCAATAACAGAAGTAAACTTTTTTCAGGTTCACTCAACTGAGATCCTTCTCTGATGAGGAGATTTAAGATTAAATCTCACACAGTTTTATTTAAGTTGTACAATATTAACAAAAAAATTTAAACATAGGTATTGAATCATAAAATTATGTTATTAATTGAAATAATATGATTAGATTTTAGGAAAGTGTATATATGCATTTTTATATAGAAGATTTTTGGATATATATTAAATTGTTACAACAGTCACCTCTGAAAGTGGGACACAATGGCACATATGGAAAAGAAACATTTCTATTTTATTTGCCTCTTAAAATTTTATACTGATTGATATTTTTAATATAAATTATTTACATAATAAAACTTTACTTTTTCAAAAAATAGAAATATAATTCATGAAGCCCTAAGTAGCCACTGTTGTACCTAGAACTTTGTGAATACAAAACCATACCACCATCCACTTTGGATAAAAAACAGAGACAAAAGCTGGCAACAATTATAAAACATAATCATTTTTCCTCCAATTAACTTCTATTTGGTAGTCTATTAACATCTCCTTTAGCACAAATAATCACAAGACTTATGAGAACTCTGAAATAATACCCAGGGTATTTATTTTCAGTAAGTATCTGAAGAAAATGTAAAGTTTGGCCTTAAAAATTGTTAATTTATTTCAGTCTCACCTGAACAGCAGCAAGGCTCTGGAGCTGGGAACTGCTTAAATGCTGCTGCTGAAGAGCTGCAGTGTGCAGCATCAAGTGCTGCTGTTGAGCTGCATACATTTGCTGAAGATACTGAGCAGCTGAGCTGGGGGGGCGATGCAATGCCTGTTGAATTACCTGTGATAAGTCAATTGAACCAATGTCAAATTATAATCTCAACCTTTATCTTTTTTTTTTTTTTTCCATTGCTGGGGATCAAACCCAGGACCTTGCACATACACTATCACTCACCCATATCTCCAGTTCAACCTTTATCTTTTTTTTTAATTATTATTATTTTGTAGTTGTAGATGGACAGAATACCTTTATTTTATTTGTTTATTCTTATGTGGTGCTGAGAATCAAACCCAGTACCCCATGTATACTAGGCAAGCACTCTGCCACTGAACCACAGCCCCAGCCCAACCTTTATCTTAACTATAAAATGAAGTATAAAAATGGCAGTTTAAAGTTTTACTACTTTAAGATTCAATGTCCTCAAGTTTATTAACATATTTCTCTCCCAGTTACATATTGCTAGGATTCACTAATTATACAAATTAAATTACCCAGTAGAGATAAATCCATAAAAGAACCATACAAGGACTGAGGTTGTAGCTCAGTGGTTGAGTGTTTGTCTAGCATGTGTGAGGCACTGGATTCAAATTCTCAGCACCACATGTAAACAAACAAAATAAAGGTCCATCAACAACTTAAAAATATTTTTTTAAAAAGGACCATATAAGTATTTGAAGAAATCTTTAATATCACTAGTATCAAAAATTTACAAATTAGGGCAGGGGTTATGGCTCAGCGGTAGAGTGCTCGTCTCACATGTGCAAGGCCCTGGGTTCGATCCTCAGCACCACATATGAATAAATAAAATAAAGTTATAAAATAAAAAAGAGGAATAAAGGCTAACAAATTCTTTAAAAAAAAAATTTACAAATTAAAACATGATACTATTTTCCTACTGTCAGATGGATAAAGATTTAAAATACTTTTACTTGAGAAAATAAATCTTCCCACACTGTCAGTGAGAATTTAAGTTGGTATAATTTTTTGGATAAAAGTTGGAAGAATTCAGGGCTTAGGTATGAAGAGGAATATTTTGTTATGGAGCCATTGCAAACAGTAGTATGGCTCTACACTGTTTAGTAGAGTAGCTACTAGCCATCTGTGTCTACTGAACATGAAAATATGACTAATGCAACTAAGGAATTGGGTTTTTAACTTTAACTGAACTTTGATTTTAATGTAAATAGGTACACAGATAGCTAATGGCTACCATATTTCACAGTGCAGATACAGACTTGTATTTATTAATAAGAACATTCTCAAATATATTAGCAGGTGAAGAAAGTTAGAGTAAGATGTCATTTTTATACCAAATTAACTGAGTAATCATTTTTATATCAAAATAACTCAGTAATCTGAGTATTCTTTGAGGATTAAATGAAGCATCTAGAACCCTGTGGTACTCAATAGGTACTCAATATACACTAGTAGCTAGTATATCTTTAACAATTGCTATGTGCCAAGCATCTGATAAATGCTTCATGTGGATTATCTTGTTTAATTCTTTATAGATGTAGTGAGAAAGTAGACATAATTATTATCTCCATTTTACAGATGGGAAAACCAGTGTTTTAAGTAGGCTAAATAATTTCCCAAAATTCATACAGCTAGTAGCTTCTCTGACTTCAAAGTCTACACCCTTTATATCCTGTGAGTTCTTGTGTTTTTCTATTATACCTGCTTGCTTCCTCTATCTCATAATTGTATTTTTCTTATAATTGCATTTGATTTTTTTTTTTTATCCTGAGGCTCAAGGAGATTGTAGATGAGTAGAATACTCAATAGATGAGTAGGAATACTCTAAAAGATTTCTCTAAGTCTATATTTTGGGTTCAAATACAAAATTTGAACCTAAAGTCATTCTGCACGTTAGGGGTCTAGAAAAACATAAAAGAGTACTGTAGATGGATAGCTAGTTAGAGGTAATTTTTATCTTCTGGTTTGAACTTTTCTTTAAGTGTCTGAAAATCCTACAAAAATTGTCAAAACTATTTCTTTTTCTGAAAATTACTCAATAATTATTTTTTAATGTTTTTAAATGTCAGAGTTCTTAATTTTCCACATAGAATACAATTATTCGTATTGGGGCTGAGGTTTTGGCTCAGTGGTAGAGCGTACACCTAGCACATGCGAGGACCTGGGTTCAATTTCAATCCTCAGCACCACATAAAGATAAATAAATAAAATAATGGTATTATATCCAACTACAACTAAAAAAAAAATTTTTTTTTAAATATTAGTATTAAAAAGACTCCTAAAAAGTGTTTGTGAATATTAATAATATAAAATCTAATCATGAAATTTCACAAATAGATAAATGTGGTAAAGTCGAGTATTCTATTAAGACCAGAGAAAAATCCTGCATCTCTTCAAAAGATAAGTCCAATCCTCTGCAGCCACATCCCAAGGTCATATCATGCCCAAGTAACCAAAACAGCACAGAACCCCAATCTTAGTATCAAACCAGAGTTTCCAAAGTGCTAAGGAAGTAATAGAGCCATAATCCTATAGCTTCACAATCTAAATTTTGGACACCTATAACCATAAAATCATGAACCCAAATTTCAAGAAAGAACATTTCCATGAATTATTGTTTACTTCAGGCATGCATATGTCATCTCTCCAATGGCAAATTGCATACTTTCTAAAAACTCCTGTCACAAAAATCAATGTAAGCTTTTGATTCCTGGTTATAGAGGACTACAGACCAGCATTAAGTAATTCAGAATTACATTAATTTATCTTTTCTTGTCAGACAAATCTATATATCTTCTTTTAATTCTATAATAAAATTCTAAAAATCAAACTGAAAAAACAAATAAACACTCTATTTGACATAATTTTATCAGAGTGCAGTAATTTTCTGTAGTTGGTAATCTTTTATTACTATTCAACACTATACTCCTGGCATTGCATAAATACAAGTTACAGGTACAGAACATTGTTCTTATTTTATTTCTCTACAGGAATTAACAAGTTAAAGAGAATTCACAGGACTAAGGAAAAAAAAAACTGGTAGAATAAAGAACTACTTAGATAGCTCAATAAATATTGATTTGATTGCTCTTTAGGACAGCAATTCCATAATCTTTGTAACAACTAGAGTTAGAGATATTTGTGAGGTATATCTACATCTACACATCTCCAATAATACTTTATTTTTATTAATACATCCATCTTAAGGGAAAACTAGAAAATGAAATGTCATATTAAAATATCCCATTATGGGGCTGGGGTTGTGGCTCAGAGGTAGAGCACTCACCTTGCACATGTGAGACACTGGGTTCGATCCTCAGTACCACATAAAAATATATAAATAAAATAAAGGTATGTGTCCAACTACAATTAAAAATAAATATTAAAAAAAATATATATATATCCCATTATCACCAGCTGGACATGATGGCATATGCCTGTAATTCCAGCAGCTCAGGAGTCTGAGGTAGGAGGATCACAAGTTCAAAGCCAGACTCAGCAAAAAGTGAAGCACTAAGGAATTCAGTGAGACCATGTCTCTAAATAAAATACAAAATAGGGCTGGGGATGTGGCTCAGGGGTCAAGTACCCCTGAATTCAATCCTCAGTACCCCACCCTCCCAAAAAAAAGAAAATCCCATTATCTCAAAGATCTAGATACTCTCCCCCATATCCCTTGCCTCAGAGAAAAGTAAAGAACATTAAATGCATACTCTCCATTCCAGTTTGAATTCTGCTGAGCTGGCTGGGTCCCCAACAGTTCTGATTCCACTCTATAGTGGCTTCAGAAAACTAAATCCTAAACCACAGAACAGTTTAATAGTTATTACACTCGAGAAAAATGGAGCAGAGAGAGGACTATACCACAAACAGTTAAGAATACAATTAGAGAGGCTGGGGATATAGCTCAGTGATACAGTATTTGCCTAGCATTCCCAAGGCCCCTCCTTGACTGAAAAAAAAAAAAATGCAATTAGGAGGTAGAGGAAGCAAGAAGGTATAACAGAAAAACACAAGAACTCACAGGGTATAAAGGGTGCAGACTTTGAAATCAGAAAACCTACTAGCTGTATGAATTTCGGGAAATTATTTAGCCTACTTAAAATACTGGTTTTCCCATATGTCTACTTTATAGAGGTGTAGTGAGAATTAAACATGATAATCCACATGAAGTATTTATCAGATGCTTGGCACATAGCAACTGTTCAATAGATACTAGTACTAGTATTTATTAAGTACCTATAATATATTCCACAGAGTTCTAGAGGCTTCATTTAATCCTCAAAGAAACTAATAAAAAAGGTAGTCTTGTCCTCATTTTAGTCTCCTGAGGCTCAAGGAGATTGTGCCTCCCACCCAAAGCCACATAGATACTGATGATAACAAAAATGGGATTCAAACAGCATATCAGAATGCAATGCCCATGTAGTATACAATACCACATTATCTCCATTATTATTAAAAGTTAATAAGTGACCTAGCCCAAGACTCTTCTTAAATATTTCCTTTCCCATTTGCCCCAGGAACTATAGAAGGCATCTTCCTACTAGGGTTCTTAGGCCACATGGGTTTAAAACAAACCTCTTAACGCAACTACAGACTTGAAAAGAATTCCCCAAGTCTATATTTTGGATTCAAATACAAAATTTGAACCTAGAGTCATTCTGCATGTTAGGGGTCTATGTTGAGTACCTTTTCTTTAGAGCAACATCAAGAGACTTCCAATTATAATTTTTCTGACACATAAATGTTAAAAAAACTATTTAACAGTATAATTATTAAATAACTGCTGGTTGTTTCAAACATTAACAATTTTTCTTTTTTTTTTAAGCAGTGCCAGGGATGGAACCCAGGGCCCTGTACCTGCTAGGCAAGTGCTCTACCACTGAGTTACATCCCCAGCCCAGATCTTAACAATTATAACTGTATATTTGAGGATCTGAATCAATACGTTGATCTGGTTTAAACAAAAAGCAATATGATACTCCAAGTCTAATTTTACTCATCATTATAGCTGAAATACCTGTACAGCATGTCGGTCTGAACCGCTGTAGACAGAAATCTGTGGTTGTTGCATTCGAGAAGAGGAAGTGGTGATGGTGGTGGTTGTTGTGCTGCTGGTTGTTGTCGACACAGAAGATGCTCCAGGGTTTGGTTCATTATCCATTGTTGTACTGTGGTCTTTAAATCTGGCAGATAACACAAAGGATTTATATTGACAAAAAGAATAATCTTATGAGCTTTAAAGAATATTCATTCCAGCTGGGCACAGTGGCCAGTGGTTTGGGAGGCTGAGGCAGGAGGATCACAACTTCAAAGCCAGTCTCAGCAACTTAGCAAGGCCCTAAGCAACTTCAAAAGCTGAGGGTATGGCTCAGTACTTAAACACCCCTAGTACCAAAAAAGAAAAAAAAAATTCATTTCAATAAATAATCTGCAAGCTGGGCTTAGGAGGCTGAGGCAGGAGGATTGTAAGTTCAAAGGCAGCCTTAGAAACTTAGCAAGAAAAAAAAAAAGGACTGGGGATGTGGCTCAGTGGTTAAGCACCCCTGGTACCAGGAGAAAAAAAAGAAAAAAGAAAAAGAAAATAATCAGCAAGAGTCTAAGCCTCTATAAAGAAACAAAATACAGCTAGCACAAAAAAAACACTTAGAAGGGAAAAATACATATACATAGGATATTTAATAGTTAATATCTATCTATGTTGAATTTAAGTGAGCCAAGATATGTAACTGACAAAACCTGGTCTAAAGTTTATCTTTGCAATATTGAAAGGAGGGATTTAAAATCAAAATAGGTGGTAAGAGAATACCACACTAACTAGAAAAATAAAAATTTAAGCAATATTGGAGTACTTTAAAACAATTCTTTCCATTCATTTGATGATTACAACAAATTACAGTCACTCGTATTTATACATTTTAAAAGAATATGACTTCTGTTGAGTAGCTTAGTTTTGGTTGCTATATACACTTTACTTAAAAAACAAGTTATCTTAAAAGAGTTAACAAAAAAAGTTTAATTCATACCAGGTTTTCTCTAATTGCTCTACAACACTGTCCTTCTTTTATTTTATTTAATTTTTGTTTAAGTTGTAGGACACAATATATTTATTTAATTTATTTATTTATATGTGGTGCTGAGAATCCAACCCAGTGCCTCACATGGGCTAGGCAAGTGCTCCTCCACTGAGCTGCAGTCCAGCCCTGTCCTTACTATTTCTAATAATCGAGTTTGACTTAAGAACAGATTACTCTATGGAAATAAGGGTAGCAGTTAACAGCAACTTCCCACATCCTTATAGAAATCTTTTTCAAGATGAATTGCTCTAAATTTTAAAAGCAGCATAACTATGTAATTTTCCTCAAATACAGTTTCCTTGTGTATAGACAGTAAAGTACATTTTTGTACCAAATTTTCTATTTCTTCCAATATTAAAATTCCACTTATATTGTGATACAAAATTTCTCCCAACACAGAATCCATATGTGATTAAATTCAACACTAAAAAATCAATTCTAAGGGCTTCAATATTGTTAGAAGCTAGAACTACTGTAATTTTTATAGGGTCATAATGCACATAATAATGAAAAATACACTTGATATTATACTGTTTTTATCTTCCTTCTTTTATCTGCCTTTTCTTATCAGTCATTTCTTCCGGAGAAACACAACCTGTGTGACAAGAATGTAACAAAAACTCTTCTACTTCACAAAAAGCAAAAGGAATTTGGCACTAATTGGGTACTCATATACTATCCTGATAGGACTTCCTTTATGTACAAATTTCCTTTTTTCTATATCACTATGTAAACAGTATTTGGCTCTGAGGAACCAATCTCCTTTTAAGAGAAAAAGTGAGGGGCTGGGATTGTGGCTCAGAGGTGAAGCAGTCGCCTAGCATGAATGAGGCACTGGGTTCGATCCTCAGCACCACATAAAGTAAAATAAAGACACTGTGTTCACCTATACCTAGAAAATAAATATTTAAAAAAAGATTTTAAAAAAAGAGAAAAAGTGAAAGAATAAAGGAAGTAGTTGATTCCTCAGTTACTCTTTTTTATTAGAAAATGATGATTGGAGACACTGAGGCAGGAGGATAATAAGTTCAAGGCCAGCCTCAGCAACTCAGCCAGATCCTGTCCCAAAACAAAAAATGAAAAGGGAGGGACAGGGTTGTGGCTCAGCGGCAGAGGGCTCGCCTAGTACTCTGCCTAGCATGTGCGAGGCCCTGGGTTCGATCCTCAGCGCCACATAAAAATAAATAAATAAAATAAAGGTATTGTGTCCAACTACAACTAAAATTTTAAAAATGAAAAGGGATAGGTATGTAACTCAATGGTAAAGCACCTCTGGGTTCAATCCGCAGTACCAAAAAGAAAACGGAAAAAGGAAGTGAATCATGTTTTTACACTTCTTTGCTATTTTTCAAATTGCCTTCCAATTATCAAATCACAGTATCATATGGTTCAATATTATACAGAATCAGTAGTAGACAAGGAAAACTTTTTACCAAATTACTGCCTATCATAACACGTGTGTGCCATGCACCAAGTGATATGCAAAATGCCAGCTTAAAGTCTGGTACTTTTAAAGTTGTTCTGCTCAACCATATCCTCAAACCCAGGCACAGTTCTAACTACTAACCGAAAATGGTCACAGAGAATACAAATTCTAGGCATCAAGTCTAATACAAATTCTAGGCATCGGTGAGGGCAACAGGCCAAACCATGGTATTGCAGGCCTGGCACAAAAGAACAGTTTTGGTAACTCCACCGTCTGTGCATATAAATACCTGCAAAATACAGACTGCAGTTCTGGTATACAAGAGGCCTACCCGAGAAATATTTAAGTTTTAGAGTCGCTAACTAAGCATACCATCACACTGCCACACAAGAATGTGGCCCTCTAGGGAGACAGCAACTCTGCAGCCAGAGACCCGAGGGAAAGGTCTTTCCTTCCGGGGTGTTTTCAGCCTCAACAGAGCGCAGCAACCTCCGCCGCCCTCAGGCCCGCGCCAAGACACTTAGCCCTCGCCCTACCCCACCGCGGGAGGGCAGTGGGCAGCTGGGTCTCTCGTTCTCTGGCTGAGAGCGGGGAGGCGCCGGAGCGGAAGGATGGTAGCACGAAGGAGGCCTGGCAGTGCCCGCCCTGCCCTACCCAGCCTCGGCGGGCCCCTGGCGTACGCAGCCCGCAGGGCCCACTTGAAGGGGTGACAGCGCCTGAGGGGCCCACAGGAATCTGTTTCCTGGAGAACCCTAGCGGACAGGGCCTCAGGGGTGACCGTGCGCTCAGGGATCGGCCGACCCGGTCCAGACGGCAGAAGGGGCGCTCCCGCCTGCAGGGCAACTGGACCCTTCAGTTCGCCTCCGCCCCCCGACTAGGGCCAAGCAGGCACCAGCAGAATAATGTAGTTCTCAGGTTTCCCTTCCATGCACTGCTAGCGAAAGAGCCCTGAGCTCTTCTACTGAGGAACGTGTCGCTGCCCCCACTCGCCCCCGGTTACGACATCAGTCACCAGCAAGTCACTCACTCCGCTTCCGCCATCTTCTCTCCTCCATCACTAGCACGGGCTGCGCATGCGCCCCCCAGCGGCGGACAGAGAGGCGGGGTCGGCCCCTATGGTCATGTGGGGTCCTCAGCTGCCAATACCCCGCCCACGTCAGCGCCTGCTGTCTCTGAATTGACCAGGTTTCTCCACCTTATTTTCCACTATCTCATTTGCAAGCTTTTACTTTCTCTTGCCCGGGATCTTCCTCTTAGAAAGGTATAAGTTCTGCGTAGACTGTTAAGTTAAATATGTGAAGAATATCTACACAAATACGCAAAGAGGGTCTCGAAATAAAATACCCACGAAGATGCTGAGGTCTCAGAGAGAAAGGAAATTCGGTGCTGCTACCATGGGGCTTGTTAGCCTGGGACGCGCTTGAGTTTGGTGGTCCTACCCAGCGGTCACTCTACCGGGTTCAAAGGTGATGTTTAGATGCTGGTGAGTGGGTGGTTAAGAAATAAATTCTTCCACGAGAGTTTAAGTGAGCGCTTAGTGGGCTTAGTGAGCGCTTGAGTGCAGACTTGAATAGCATGGGACACAAACAAGAAAGGCCGCCAGTTTGCTAGTACATTTTACTATATGCCAACTCCTCTGAGGCGGGGTGAGACAAACATACAAAGATGAGTAAAATATTAACTATAACTATAAAATAGTAAAGATGTGTTCCCGGAAATAAGTCAATCTGGAGAGTGAGTGGTTTTTATAGACATTAGTGCTTTGGAACAGACCCATCAATCTCTTTGGAAACCTTAAATTCAAAGAACAAAAAAAAAAAAAAAAAAATCTTTACTACTCTTTGTAGAAAAAAGAATATCGATCATAAACAATAGATTTTTTGGTTTTGTTTGTTTTGTTTGGCTGTACTGGATATTGAACCCAGGGACTCGCCATCACTAAGCTAAATCCCCAGTCCTTTTTTTTTTTTTCTTAGAGAGAGAATTTTAATATTTATTTTTATTTTCTTTTTTTTAGTTTTCGGTGGACACAACATCTTTGTTTGTATGTGGTGCTGAGGATCAAACCTGGGCCGCATGCATGCCAGGCGAGTTTGCTACCACTTGAGCCACATCCCCAGCCCTTTTTTTATGTTGTTGTTTTTGAGACCCACCTCCCAAAGTTGCCCAGGCTGGCCTGGAACTTGCATCCTCCTGAGTCAGCCTCTAGAGTAGCTAGAAAGTATAGGTCTATGCAACTGTGCCTGGCAAGGATGTCTCTTGTATTGGTAAGACAGCGGAGTCATGCTCATTTCAAGAACTAAGAATGAGGTATTGGTGTAAATTCATCTTAAAAGTGTAATGTGCTCCAATGAAAAGTATACTTATCCTTAGAAATCCTGTGTTCTGGGATGTGCTTAAGGAAGGGAAAAAAATACTTATGTGAACTTAAGCTGTCCCATTTCTTATTTGATAACATCATTTGTTTTGTTTTGTTTTGTTTATCTTCTTCCTGACTGATAGCAGTTCACTTCCTACTAGAACTCACTGAGAAAGATACTTTGAAAAGCCCCTTAGATGCTTAAAACTATTACTACTTTTTCTTTCTGATTTGATATGATGTCATTGTCATTCTTCTCTCTAGAATCAACTGTCTATTAATATTTATTGCTGAAATTATTATTTAGAAAAACAGAAGTGCAAGAAAGCACCATCTTAGACCTAAGACTAATACACAACCCAAGGGTATTTGAATAGGCCAAAATTCTTTTTCATCCCCCTTTCCTTTGGATACTGAAAGCCTATATCCTTTTGTGGCCTCATGCAGATTGGCTTTCAAAATGAGAAAATACATTAGGTAAAATTAGATCATTATTGATTTTTAGAACCATTTAAAGACTCTGTTTATTACAACAACTAACATTTGTATAGCTTCTTACTCACTGCAAAAGATTTCCACCTAACTCATTTGTTGATCTTCACAACAACTCTGTAATATAATTATCATCATTCTCATTTAGCACTGAAGTCACATTAATTTCAAGTGAGGTTCAAGGTAATTAGGTGCCTTTCCTGACTGCTAACATGTACCAGAAATGGTTCCTAAGCTTAAATAGCTCTCCATCTACAAAGCCAAATTTCCTTCACTACATTATTCAGCAAGCCACTATGAAACAGAGGAGAACAAGTGTGATGGACAACTTTCAAGAAACTTAACTATGACTTATCTGATCAAACAAGAGGAAAGTATTCAACCTCTTTGTTTCCTTTCTTAAGGAAAATGTGGATGTGGCATGATGACAGGTTGAACTTTCAAAAGTTCATATGAATTGTTACTTTGGAGTAATAGTACCTTGGAAAAGAGCTAGGATCCTAATTGATTTTAGGAAAATCTCTTTAGCTTTGTGCAGGATGGATTGGAAAGAAAGTAAAATAAGAGACAGGGAGACTAGTTGAGAAACTGCATTAACTCTTAAAGAAATGATAAGGGCAACAGGAATGGAAAGGAGGGCTGAGTTAAAATTTAGTCCCAAATCAAACACAGTGGTATGCCTCTGTAGTCCCAGCTACTGGGAAGGCTGAGGGAGGAAGATAAGTTAAGCCCAGAAGTTCAAGAACAGGGCTGGGATTGTGGCTCAGTGGTAGAGCGCTTGCCTGATATGTATGAGGCACTGGGTTCGATTCTCAGCACCACGTATAAGTAAATGAATAAAATAAAGGTCTATCAACAACTAAAAAATACTTAAAAAAAAAAAGTTCAAGAACAACTTGAGTAACATAGTTAGACCCTGTCTTAGAAAAAAAAAATTATAACAAAATTTTAGTTCCTTGGTCACACTGGTCATATTTTGAGTGCTCAATATCTGCATGTAGTTAGCCACTACTACATAGGACAATGCAGATTAGACCATTTCCATCATCCCAGAAAGTGTTATTTAACAGCACTAGTCTTGACATTAGATCAGAGGTTGGCATACTACAGCCCAAAGGCTAAATCCAGCCTGCCACCTGTTTTTGAACAGCCATCAAGGTAAAAATGCCTTTTATATTTTCTGGTAATTGGGAGAAAAAAATCAAGAGAAGAATAATATTGTGTGATAAAGTTGTGAAAATTACATGAAATTCAAATTCCGCTATCCATAAGTAAAATCCTTTTGTAGAACAGCCCTGCTTGTTCCTTTATGTATTGTCTATGACTGATGGGCTGCAAGGGCAGAGTTGAGTCTCGCTCTTAACAACAACCTAACAACCCACAGAGCCAATAAGTATACTGTACTATCCAGTCCTTTATGGAAAATTTCCTGACCCCTATTCTAGATCACTGTTCACCCTTTCAGAGTAGTTAATATAGGACGTACCCTGTCCTGGGAGCCACCTAGACCATGATTGCTGTCATGGAATCCCAGGTAGTGAGACAGAAAGTGCAGCAGACCCAGATTTGAATACTGAGCTTTCTGCTTTACCAAATGAGCCACCTTGTGCAAGTGATTTAACTGCTCCAATTTTTATTTTGTAATGTGAACAAAAGGGAGGACAATAATACCTTGCAAGATTGTTATAAAATCCAAAAAGGCTAAATTGTAAACTCTAAAAAAAAAGTTCTTTTTTTTTTTTAAACTTTTCACCAGGGTCTTCCTCCATCGAGATTTGCTCAATAAACGTCATTAAATGTACTTTATACTCAATAGACACAAAATACTTTTTTGAGATGATTAACACTTGGATATTTGGATGAATGAGGCATAAAATTTTATTATATCCTGTAAGTTGGAGTGGCACAATACATAGAATTGCTTTCTCTTTTTCTTTAAAGTAAAATGCTAAAACCAAATGCTTTCGCTAAATTTAAAAAGTAATATGATAAAATCAAACTAAATTGAATAGTATTGAAACCAAAAACATAACCTGTAGTGCTGCCACCTCTTACCTACTCTTGTAACAATTCTATGCTTATCATTCTTATCTCTCTGTATCAATGAGTGGCACTGTACACAGTGGCTATCCCTCCAGGTGCTGAATGGTGCAACAGAGAGCACTAAAGCTGAAAGGGCCTTTAGAAGTCATGGAATCCACATGGAGGAACAATCCGTAGCACATGCAGAATTTGAATTTGCACCTTCTATCCATCCAGTCTAGAGTTTTGGGTCATATGCCACAAGACCTTAGAACAAGTGTGTTGGTGCTCGAGAAACACTTGAGGTGCTGCGTACGGTCCTTCCCATTCTGCTTTGATGCTTAGTGTTTGCTTAGCATTGCATCAGCCTAGGGGACTTTTTGTAAGTAGGGCTTTAGAATCAAACAAATCTGAATCTTGGTTCTGCCAACTCACTGTGTTGTGGACTTCTTGCAATCCGGTCAGTTCCACCTCATTTCTGGCCACAAGACCATGATACACCACCAAAATACAAATCAGATTTGTCATTTCTTACTACCTCCACTGTCATCAATATAGATCAGGCCACCTTTCTCTCTCCTAAACTACAGCAATATACTCCTGACAGGTCACCCTGCCTTCATTCTTAGTCCCCTACACTCTGTTGTCCATGCAGCAACCTATAGAGAAAATGTAATTTACATTTACATTACCTATAGAGAAAATGTAAATCCTGCATTGTGGGTCTATACCCAAAGGACTTAAAAACAGCATACTACAGGGACACAGCCACATCAATGTTTATAACAGCACAATTCACAATAGCTAAACTGTGGAACCAACCTAGATGTCCTTCAATAGTTGAGTGGACAAAAAAAAAATGTGGCATATATACACAATGGAATATTACTCAGCAATAAAAGAGAATAAAATCATGGCATTTGCAGGTAAATGGATGGAGTTAGAGAAGATAATGCTAAGTGAAGTTAGCCAATCCCAAAAAAAACAAATGTTGAATGTTTTCTTTGATATAAGGAGGCTGATTCATAGTGGGATAGGGAGCAGGAGTATGGAAGGAATAGACGAACTCTAGGTAGGACAGAGGGGTTGGTGGGGAAAGGAGTGGGCATGGGGTAATTAATGATGGTGGAATGTGATGATCATTACTATCCAAAGTACATGTATGAAGACACGAACTGGTGTGAATATACTATG